TACGGGAAAAATAAGTAACATTATTTGAATTGAAAGAAATTTACAAAAGTCTGATTGAAAGAAAGTTACTTTATTCTGATATTAAAAGTAAGTTTACATTATTTGATATTAAAATTTTAGAAAACCTAGGTCTGTTTTTAAAACAAGTTACTATCTATATTGAAAGAAATTACATTTTCGTTTAAAAAGTAAGTTACTTATTCTGATATTAAAAATAATTACATTAGTCTAATAAAAGTAATTTACATTACGATTTTGGAAAGTAGAAACAAGTCTGATATTGAAAGAAAGTTACATTAGTTGATATTGAAAGTAAGGGACATTAGTCCGATATTGAAAAGTTCCTTTAGTATGATTTTGAATGATAGTAAATTAGTTTATATTGAAAGTAATTTACTTTTGATTTTGAAGAAGTAACTTTAGTTGATTTTGAAAGTATTACTATCGATATTAAAGAAAGTAACCTTAGTCTGATATTAAAAGAAAGAACATTTTATATTCATTGTCTGATAGTGAAAGTAAATTACATTAGTCTGATATGGAAGTAAGTAACATTAGTCTGACATATTTAAAATTAGTAACATTACTCTGATATTGAAAGTAAGGTTACATTAGTCTGATATTGAAAGTAAGTTACATTAGTCTGATATTGAAAGTAAGTAACATTACTCTGATATTGAAAGTAAGTAACATTATCTGATATTTGAAAGTAAGTAACATTAGTCTGATATTGAAAGTAAATTACATTAGTGAAAGTAAGTTTACATTAGCAGGAAAGTAAGTAACATTAGTCTGATATTGAAAGTAAGTTACATTAGTCTGATATTGAAAGTAAATTACATTAGTCTGATATTGAAAGTAAGTTACATTAGTCTGATATTGAAATAAGTAACATTAGTCTGATATTGAAAGTAAGTTACATTAGTCTGATATTGAAAGTAAGGGACATTAGTCTGATATTGAAAGTAAGTTACCTTAGTATGATATTGAATGTTAGTAACATTAGTCTGATATTTAAAGTAAGTTACTGTCACATATCACTCCTGTCGCGTGCCTAATGTAAGGATTTCTCCTTCAGAACCAACAGCACTCAGAAATAATTATGTTGAGTCGTTTGGCTCGTATTGGTCTAAGGAATTCCCCGTGGCCAATATACGCTCAACTTATCTCTGGAGTAGGGCAACTCAAGTATTGGCACTACAAAATATGTCAGTGTGAATACAATATTTCTAGGCACACTTGACTGGACACCCCCACTACTTTCTAAAGAAAGCCCCCAGGTTATGATAGTTCATTATCATAACCATGTTAACACATATAATGAAGATACATACACACATAACTGCTAAACACTTAAAAAGGTGAAATAGAGACACCTAAGTCAGCCATGAAAATGAATGCATGTAATCAATATAAAATAGATATATAATAGTAAAACAAATGCCAGATCTCCTAGGCTAGATCTCCGGATATCATGTCCAAATCACAAAGATACTACACAGACAGAAGGTCCTGGAGATGACATCTTCTCATCATTAGGAAACATAGGAGCTGTGAGGAATAAAGCACATAAGGCATCAATCTGCACTTAGCCTCTTTCTGTCTATGATGCCTCCCTCAGCTCCTGATGATTCGACTGTCTTTGACTCTGGTAATTCTGCTCAACTGGATCAGGTAGTGAAAGAGTACCCCACCATAGAGGACACAGCAACTGTACCGGTATTCAGCAAGTCTCTCCCACCAGTTAGGTCATAACAGGGTCTCTGAGCTACACCAAGCTCTTGCACTGGTAGGCTGTTTGAGTTATCTGTCCCCACATAGTGGTAATGTCAGAAACCTTCACAGGTGTTAGCTGGTGGGTAGTTGGTTGATAGTTGGTTTATGGTTTATTTATGGTTTATTTTTGGTTTATGGTTGGTTTATGGTTGGTGGGTGTTGGTTGGACTGTGAAACTTCTGCCAGCTCCTCACAAAGGATTCATCCTGCCAAGAAATAACTCAGAATTAGTCATCACCAAGAGAGTAACATCTTGACAGGAAAGACAGAACAAGCATCAGTCATCATCCCCCATCTGCCTACTCCACCTTGCTCTCCTGTTTCATTCCTCAGAATGCCTCTCTAGACCAGGAGACACAAGTCCCCTATCATTCATCTGTCTGTTTAGTGCAAGAGAAGGAAAGTCAGATATACAGTGGAGATAGATAGAGTGTTCTAACAC